GGCCCGGGCGCCTCGGGCCCTCGACGGAGGAAACCAAAATAGGGAAACGAACTGTCTCTCTTTTTTTTTCTCTCTCTCTCTCTCTCTCTCTCTATATATATGTATATATATATGTATATGTATATATATATATATATATATATATGTGTATATATATATATTTATATATATATACTAGAACCACGCGCGCGCTTCGCGCGCGCTTAGGTTCTGTCGAGTCACAGACCCAGGAATCGTTGCGAGAAGAAATTGGTGACGCGAAGCGTCTTGGGGGCGTCCTTGGACGTCTGGGGTCTCCTGGGGCCTCTTGAGGGGCCTCCTTGGGGCCTTCTTGGGCTCCATCTGGAAGCCAAGATGGATGCAACAAGAGGGTGCTTGGGCTCTCCGTGAGCTATCCTCTGGTTTTCATTCCCCTGGAGAGGAGAGGAGGAGGAGGAGGAGGAGGAGGAGGAGGAGGATGAGAAGGAGGAGGAGGAGGAAGATGCAGAGGAGGGAGGAGGAGGAAGGAGAGGAGATGTTGGGGCGCTCTTGGGGCCCTCTTGGGCTCTCTTGGGGCTCGTCGGGGCCCTCGTGGGGCCACCTTGGGCTCCTCTCGGAGCTCCAAGAGGAGCCCACAGAGGGGCCCAACATCGGTCACGCGAGAGCTCTTCCGCGTGACCGATGTTGGGGCCCTCTTGGGGCCCTATTGGGCCTCCTTGGGCCCTCTTGGGGTCTCGACGGGGCCCTCGTGGGGCCATCTTGGGCTCCTCTCGGAGCACCAAGAGGAGCCCAAAGAGGGGGCCCAACATCGGTCACGCGAGAGCTCTTCCGCGTGACCGATGTTGGGGCCATCTTGGGGTTCCTTGGGCCTCCTTGGGCCCACGTGGGGCTCCCTCGGGGCCCTCGTGGGGCCATCTTGGGCCCCTCTTGGAGCTCCAAGAGGAGCCCAAAGAGGGGCTCAACATCGGTCACGCGAGGGCTCTTCCGCGTGACCTATGCTGGGGCTCTCTTGGGTCCCTCTTGGGCCTGCTTGGGTCCTCTTGGGGTCTCGTCGGGGCCCTCGTGGGGCCATCTTTGGCTCCTCTCGGAGCTCCAAGAGGAGCCCACAGAGGGGCCCAACATCGGTCACGCGAGAGCTCTTCCGCGTGACCGATGTTGGGGCTCTCTTGGGGCTCTCTTGGGTCCCTCTTGGGCCTCCTTGGGCCCACGTGGGGTTCCCTCTGGGCCCCCTCTTGGGCCCGTCTTGGGGCCCTCTTGGGCCATCTTGGGCGCCTCTTGGGCCGTCTTGGGGCCCTCTTGGGCTGTCCTGGGGCCCTCTGGGAAACTTCTTGGGCGGTCTTGGGGCGGTCTTGGGCGCCTCTTGGGCCGTCCTGTAACGTCGGAAAGCCCAAAAGGCGACTTTGTTGAAAATGTACGTTTTACGAAGGGAATGGGCCAATTCTTGCGTCTAGGGGCCCTCTTGGGACGCATGTTGGAGGCTTCTTGGAGCCTCTTGGGGGCGTCCTTGGACGTCTGGGGTCTCCTGGGGCCTCTTGAGGGGCCTCCTGGGGGCCTCCTGGCGGCCTCTTGGGGCGGAAGGCTCGAGCTTGCGGTTCGTGGTCCCCCTCTGGGCCCCCTCTTGGGCCCGTCTTGGGGCCCTCTTGGGCCATCTTGGGCGCCTCTTGGGCCGTCTTGGGGCCCTCTTGGGCTGTCCTGGGGCACTCTTGGGAAGCTTCTTGGGCCGTCTTGGGGCGGTCTTGGGCGCCTCTTGGGCCGTCCTGTAATGTCGGAAAGCCCAAAAGGCAACTTTGTGAAAAATGTACGTTTTACGAAGGGAATGGGCCAATTTTTGCGTCTAGGGGCCCTCTTGGGACGCATGTTGGAGGCTTCTTGGGGCCTCTTGGGGGGCGTCCTTGGACGTCTGGAGGCCATCTTCAGCATCTCGGAGCCCTCTTGGAGGCCTCTTGGAAGTTTCTTGGGCCGTCTTGGGCGTTTCTGGGGCCGTCTTGTCTGACCGGGGAGGCCTCCGGCAAGCCCCGACGAGCCTCCGGGGCCCCCGGGGTGCACATTTGCGGTCGAGGTCCCGGCCCCGGGCCCCCAGACCAGGTGCGCCGTTATATGTATGTATATATATATATATATATATATATATATATATATATATATATACCGACGCTTTTCCCGACCCTGCGCTGAAATTCGCACAGGAACGCGGATTCTGGTGCATACGGGATCCTGGTGTATATTTTCCGATGTTTCCCTTGGGCCACGGGGGAAGAGTACACACCAAACCACCCCGACGTCGTCCCTGACCCTTAATAAGTCATGGGATTGGAAAACAACCCGCCACTGGTAATGTATATGTTCCAGTTTGCGACAAAACGCACTCAGACCGCTACTGCCCAGACCTATCCTGAGGTGCGCCCTGACCAGAAGCTCGAAGCGCGTTCAGCCGTGGCTGCGAGGGCCTCCCAGAAGTCGCAGAGAGGCGAAAGCGCGGCTAGCGTCGCGGCATGAGTACCTCCTCCACCTCGAACCCATGCCCCACCCGTTTTTGTTGGGCGTGCGCGCACGAGCGCATGCGCCGCCGTGGGCGTTCGACGACCCCCCATTCAAGACTCAGTCCAGGACCTTTTGGAGCTGCGCGAAGCGTTGCGCAGCTGGGCTTGAGCAGGGGCCGACCGTCCCGGCATTCCTAGAGTCCTACCACGCCATGTTCTTGGAACCCGAAAATGTGTTAAGAACAAAGACAAGGTTCTTAGAACATAAACCCGCTGTGTTTAAACAAGACACCCTCAACAAGAAGTGTTCTGAGAACATTTCGTGGAAACCACAAAAGGTTCTTTCGGGGATGGACAGACCTCCCTTTAGTAAAACGTGGTTTAGTGAAAACGACCTGAGGCCATAACCTGGCGGGCGCAAGCCTGGAAAATGACGGCCGCGGCGCCCTCTTGAGAACCGAAAGCGGACAATTCACTAATCGGCGCGTCACTGTTAGGAGGTCTGTCCACCCCCGGTTCTTAGAACACTGCTTGGTAGGCCTATAGGCGAGCCAGCACGCCTCGCCGCTGCCCGACGGGCATGCGGATCGCCGCCGCGCGGCCGCCCGCGCGGGGCACCTCGCCCAAAACGGCAACAGCGCCGCCCGGCACCGCACTCGGGAGCGGCCAAGAGGGGGGCGTCCAAGACGAGATGGAGGAGGAGGAGGAGGAGGAGGAGCAGGACCAATTCGGAACGCGGAAGAGCGGTGCCGATCTCGGTCACCGTCCATCTCTCGGGAGCGGCCAGGTGTCCAAGAGGGGGGGGTGCAAATCATGACCGGCGGCATGTGCGCGGCCCAGCGGGGGGGCCAGGGACGCAACGAAACAAGAAGAGGCGCCGTGAGACCTGGGGATATATCATGGCCCCCGCCATGATATCCCCCCCCCCCTGGTCATCACCCCCCTCTTTCCCGCCCCCGAAAAACGGCAACAGCGCAGCCCGGCACCGCACCGGCAGAGGCTCCCGCCACGAATGGGCCGCCAGGCCGCACACGAGGCCGCCGCTTCCGGGGCCGGCGTGCTGCACCCGCCCAGCGAGAGGGAGGGGGTGCCGCCAAGCCGCCCCCAGAGCCAGAGCCTGGGTCAGGCGGGCACGGCTGGCCCGGGCAATTCTGCCAACGGGGCTCCCCACATGAGGATGTCGAGGGCCTCGTGGGATCCGTGAGGACAAATAATAGCAATAGTAAATGAAGGGGCTATGGCAGAAGTGCGTGCGAAAGAAACGGCAGACGAACGAAAGGAGGGGGAGCAGCAGGGAGGAAGACGACGGCTCTTCAGGAAGCACGTTCGTCCCTGGAAAAGTGGGAGGGGCAGGATTTCTGACAAATAACATGGTTGTCGAATCCCCTCCTCGCTCTGGCGGGGCCTTCCTGGAGGGTTGGGACGGGCACGAAACTTTGGAAATAGTATGGTACTTCGATGCTGTCCTCGCTCTGGCGTGGCCTCCCTGGAGTGGTAGGTATGGTGTGGTGGCTTTGGTATGGTAAGTGTGGTATGGTAGGATGGCGTAGTATGGCATGATATTGTAAGTATGGTAGGTTTGGTATGGTAGGCATGGTAGGTATGGTATTGTAGGTGTGGTATGGTAGGTGTGGTATGGTATGGTAGGTAGGCGTGGTATTGGTATGGTACGTGTTGGTGTGGTATTGTAGGAAGGCGGGAGAAGAAGAAGGGGAAGGAGAGGGTGTTCTAGAAAAACAAGAACCCCACACAGGATGTGGGGACAAAAAACCCAAACAAAACCAGGGAGGTGGAATCCAGTTCGCCGATGGACCCTGTCGCGACCACTCACGGCATGGATAACACCCATCGGGGCAAAATAAGGGAGGATGACGAGGAGGATAAGCAAGGATCAAGGGGGGGAAGGACGGGGGAACAAAATTCTGGGCATGATGATTTGGACGAGGGGCCACGGAGGGGCGACAAGCGGGAGGAGGCTGGCGGATGCAGCGCCCAGTTACCATCGGCGCAGGCAGTGGCCGTAAACGCCATCGTCTCCAGCCCCCACCAAGGCGGCGGCGGCGATGGAGTCACCAATCATTGGGAGAGGTTGGGCTCCGAGCCCGGAGTCCGTCGCTCATGCTCTGCGGGCCATTCATCAAGCCTATCCGAAAACACACTGTGCGGCGCTGCAGCACTGGCGCCAGGGGTGCGCCAATCTCCTGACGCCACTCGCGTCGTCGCCGCCGTGGGAAAAACTGCGCGCTGGCCACCGCCAATTGCTTTGCAGCGTGTCAGCCCGGTCTCGCCGCAATGGCTGCGGGGAGCAAGAAGCGGAGGAGCAAAGGAGGGAGACATAGGAGGATGAGGGAGCAGGCGGGAGGGTGAGGACGAGGAGGAAGGAGGACGGTGGAGAAGAGAAAGCTGAGGGTGCAGAAGGACGTTGAGGAGAAGGGAGAGGAGCAAGAAGAGGAAGGATGCGGAGGAGAAGGACCACGAGGATGAAGGGGAGGAGGAGGGAGCCGGAAGGAGGACGACGAAGCCGAGCAGGAAGGGTGGGACCTTCTCCCTCCTGCTGCTGGCGCTGCGGGCCTTGGCCTGCTCCCTCTCGGCGCTGCGGGCCTTGGCGCGGACCTTCTTCCCGCTGCGGCTGCGGCCCTTGGCCTTCTCCCTCCTCGCGCTGGGGCTGCGGCCCTTGGCCCGGGCCTTCTTCGGGTCGGCGCTGCGGCCCTTGGCCCGGACCTTCTTGGGGCTGGCGCCGCGCTCCTTGGCGGGGACCTTCTTCGCGCTGGGGCTCCGGGCCTTGGCCTTCTCCCTCCTCCTGCTGGGGCTGCGGCCCTTGGCCCGGACCTTCTTGGGGCTGGCGCTGCGGCCCTTGGCCCTCTCCCTCTTCGCGCTGGCGCTGCGGTCCTTGGCGTTGGCCTTCTTCTGGCTGGCGCTGCGGTCCTTGGCCCGGACCTTCTTGGGGTCGGGGCTGCGGTCCTTGGCGGGGGCCTTTCGCTGGCTGGCGCTGCGGTCCTTGGCCCTTGCTTTCTTTCTGCTGCCGCTGCGATCCTCGCGCGAGGCCAGGGGATGGGGCAAGCCCTACGAGGCGCTATTACACAATAACACGCACCGACATGCACGGACACACGCACGCACACTGGTCCACACACTTGTTTGTCAGCTGTTTCTTGCACTGGCATTTAGGCGGTCCAGTACCGCCTGCGGCTAGGCTGGCAACTCAATTGCGCGGTTGGCGACTAGGCAAGCCTCAAATAATGTACGTAGCACCCCGCAATTGCGGATAAGAGTGAGGGGGCGGGCGCGGGCGACGCGGGTGTCGTCGAGCCGGCGGACCTCGTTGCCCCCGCCTTGCCTCCTCCTCCTCCTCCTCTTCCTCGTCCTCGCCCTCGTCCTCATCGTCATCGTCATCCTTCTCCTCCACCTCGTTCTCCTCCTTTTCTTCGTCGTCCTCCCTCTCCCCCCATCGTCCTTTCATCATCGTCCTCCCACTGTCGTCCTCCCTCTCATCGGCCTCCATCATCGTCCTCCCATTGTCGTCCATTATCATCATCATCCTCCCCCTCGTCCTCCTCGTCCTCCTCCTCCCCCTCTCCCCCCCTCCCCCTGCTCGTCCTCCTGCTCCTCCTCCTATTCTTTCTCCACATTATCCTTACATCCTCTCTTCTTCCGCGTCCTCCTCGTCCCCTGTTTACTCCTCCTGCCTCCCCCTCCTTTCCCAAGATCAACGCAATCCTTTTTGTCCACTTTATGCTCCCCGACTTTTCTGATCAAGGCAACTCGCCAGGGCAAAGTTGCTGGACGAGCTGGCGTGGATGCGCGAGGCTTGAAGAGGTCCTTGCAGGCTCAGACGGCATGCAAAAATCCGCCGCCGCGCTTGTGCGGCATTGGTTTGTTCAGTGAACGTGGTTTGGGTCGCGGGTGGGTCGCGGGCTCTCCACCTCCACCTGGAAGGAATGCAAAAGCAGCCCGCCGCAGGCGCCAAAAACATTGGGTTGTACACTGAACGTGGTTTGGGTCGCGGGTGGGCCGCGGGTTCTCCACCGGGAACGAATGCAAAGGATGCCCGCCGCAGGCGCCGAAAAATGCGGTTTGTACCCTGAACGTAGTCGCGGGCGGGGCGCGGGCTCTCCACCTGAAACGAATGCAAAAGATGCCCGCCGCAGGCGCCGAAAAGTGTGGTTTGTGCCCTGAACGTGGTTTGGGTCGCGGGTTGGTCGCGAGTTGGTCACGGGGTGGGTCGCGGGCTCTCCACTTGGAAGGAATGCAAAAAGAAGCCCGCCGCAGGCGCCGAAAATGGTGGTTTGTACCTTGAACGTGGTTTGGGTCGACGCTGGGTCGCGGGTGGGTCGCGGGGTGGGTCGCGGGTGGGTCGCGGGTGGGTCGCGAGTGGGTCGCGGGTGGGTCGCGGGTGGGTCGCGGGGTGGGTCGCGGGGTGGGTCGCGGGGTGGGTCGCGGGGTGGGTCGCGGGGTGGGTCGCGGGGTGGGTCGCGGGGTGGATCGCGGGGTGGGTCGCGTCGGGGTGGGTCGCGGGTGGGTCGCGGGGTGGGTCGCGGGTTGGGTCGCGGGTGGGTCGCGGGGCGGGTTGCGGGTGGGACGACGACAACAAACAACAACAAACAACAACAAACAACAACAATGAGAATCCGCACCGCGGAATTCCACTTCAGCCACGCACCCGGGGACAGTGAATGACCGTTCGGACCCCTCACTCTGACGATGCGCAAACACCGTTAGCCAAAACACTGATGACCCTGACGGGACTGAACAACGGCAGAACTGGCAAGCGAAGTACTTATTGTTCCCTACCTAGGCTCTGCCTAGAAGGGTTCTTACTCTCTTAGCTTAAAGGGGCCGGGCAGTGCAAAGCGCCCCGGGCGGTTCCCCCAGTCCCCGCCCCGCGGTTCCCCCCAGTCCCCTGGGAGCTTTAGCTTTAGCTTTAGCTTTAGCTTAGCTTTAACTTAGCTGTAGCTTAGCTTTAAGTTAGCGTTTCGCTTAGCTTTTCGCTTAGCGTTTAGCTTAGCTTTAGCTTAGCTTTAGCTTAGCTTGAATCTAGCTGTAGCTTAGATTTAGCTTAGCTTTAGCTTAGCTTTAGCTTAGCTTTAGCTTATCTTTAGCTTAGCTGTAGCTTAGCTTTAGCTTAGCTGTTGCTCAGCTTTAGCTTAGCTTTAGCTTAGCTTTAGCTTAGCTTTAGCTTAGCTTTAGCTTAGCTTTAGCTTAACTGTGGCTTAGCTTTAGCTTAGCTTTAGCTTAGCGTTAGCTTAGCTTTAGCTTAGCGTTACTGTTACTACTAATGCTGCTTTCCTAGGGGTTCCAACTCCTAGGTAGGGTCGCACTGGGATAATGCAAATCCAGAGCGTGACCGCACAATGATGATGTACGACTGGTTGCAAGGCATGCGAAAGTTCATTTAACGATGTCGCGGCGCGCTCAGAGGACCACCACAAACGAGCGGGGAACGAGAACGAGAGGTCCGCGAGAGAAATTGATCTGCGCACCGAGAGGGGAGCAAATCGCCGATCAAGGAACTCACTATCACAGTGACCATCTACACAAACACACACACACACGTACCCACATGCGCGCGCACGCACGCGCGCAACGACACAAAAAGCGCAAGCGCAATCACCAATCTTCTTGTCGTCACGCTCGCAAGACCGTCTAGTAGAGAGCTGATGGGGGGCCTGCTATGTGTCGAGTGAGACCTGGCCAGGCTCACCAGCAAAGCTGGTTGACGATGCAAAAGGCCTGGTCCCCCTTCATGGGTCATTCCGCGATGTCTCCCCCCCCCCACCAACAACGTCACAGCCGCCTGCACAAACTGCCGAACCGCACTCAGATCGCTTCACGCCGCCGGGGCATGTAGTGTGACACCGATTGCAAAGATCGAGCTTGCATATGAGCAGCGCAAACATGGTCGGACCGAACGGATCTGTGACAGCACTGCCGATCCGATCGAGGTGGTCCATCAAGCTGATCGAGTTCGGTGAGGGTCAAATCGATCAGCCCCACTCGAGTTTAGGAGACACTGAGTCCATACATGTCCAGACACTGCATGCTTGGATCGCCCGCCCATCTCGCCCTCGCCGCAGTCCTTGCCACGGTCTCGGTCCCCGCTGCCACCGCGGTCTTTGGGGCGCTCCGTCCTGTTATGGGAGGGATCCGGGGAGCCTGGAGACACAAAACCATACACTGCCGTCCTCGATCCTTCGCTTCAGCTACGTGGGGGACGTGAGCGAGCAGCAGACAGATGAAGAGCGGTACGCCGCTGGTCCAGAACAGCACGCCGCTCGCAATCTCGGATCGCAACGGGGTGGGTGTGTCGCAGGTGCGTCGCGGGTGCGTCGCTGCTGGGCCGCAGGTGGGTCGCGGGTGGGTCACTGGTGGGTCACGGGGCTGGTCGGGAGGCGCAGGCTCCCTTCGTCCAAGCATCGTGGGGGGGTCACGGGCGGGCCGTGGGTGGGCCGCGGGTGCGTCGCAGCTGCGTCGCGGGTGCGTCGCGGGCGGGTCGCGGGCGGGAGGGCGGGACGCGCGTGGGTCGCGAGCGGGTCGCGGGTGTTTGGCGGGCAGGCGGGTGGCAGTGGTTCGCGGGCGGGTCGGGGGGCAACTACGACCACAATGGCAACAAGAACACTCCGCATCGCAGTACCAAATTTCAGACATGCGTTGCCATGTTCACTGCGATCGATTCCGAAAATCCTGACTTCAGCACCTGAGCATTCCCATGTGCGCACACGCGTGGGTGTACTCCGCTCCTGCACGACGTGGTGGGCTCAGATGCAAGACAGCCGCATGGCCCTGCAAAGCTTGATTAGGCACGCGAAACATCCTAAATCATGCATGCCATCTCTGGCGATGCAAGGGCTAGCCCGTCGGACTGGGGAGTGCCGCAAGGGTGCCTGCCTGGCCCCTCCACACCTCCAGGGACCTCGTCCTCTGCCCCGCTGGCTGACTCCCACACACCCCAGGAGCGGAGCGCGCCGAGTCCGCCGGCCAGCCAGCCCCTCAGGGGCAGCGCGGGTGGGCCGGGGCCCGCTTCCTGCACGCGCTGGACGAAGGCATGTTCCCGCTGGTCCCAGCGCACCCGGTCGCAATCTTCGTCCACAGACTGGCGCAGATGGGGCCCGAGAGTCGTACCGCATCGCCGATGCATCGGAGACGTTGGGTGGAGAAAATCTGGGCTCTGGATCCCGATGCATCGCCGATGCATCGGCGATGTGTCGCCACCCTCCGACGCCATCGTCTTCGACCCGTTCTGGGCGGTCTGGAGGGTTGGTGGGCCCCCGCGCAGCGGCAACGAATCTAGAAGGATGGCGGTCTCGACTCCGTGGTGAAGCCAACATATCACTGCAAGATTTCGATGCTTTTTCTTGGTTTCAGCCCCTGGGGCCTCTCTCGGGCCCCGAAGCCATCGGAGATTAACCCGTGCTGCCCCGCAGAAAAGCCCCAGGAAGGGAGTCGAGACCTCAAAGCCCTCGTCGTGCATCGATCATGGCGTCGGCGGTCTGGCCATGAAGAAGCGGGCGCAGAGGAAGCACGTGCTGACAGCGCCCGCGTGTGTTCGGGCCCCCCAGCGCAGCACTGCATGATTGGTTGCGGCGAGGCTCGGCGGTCCGGCAACGAGAGAAAAGGGGAGCGGCGGCAACTGCCGACAGCGCCCGCGTGTGTGTGTCCCCCGTCCCAGCACGGCGGGTTCGTGTCACGGCGACTTCGGCGATGGGTCTCCTGACACCGCGTGGATCGTCAAGCGCTGGGCGCTCGGCGCTTCTTGCATCGCCAAATCGTCCCACTGTTGGTTGGTTTTGGGCCGCCGGTGGCGGTCCATATGGAACGTCCGCGGCGCGGTCGCCGCGTCGCCCAGAGACGCGAACCTGCCGTGCTGCCTGATCGCTGCCTGCGCGGCGGGGCGAGCGACATGCGAGGATCGGTGGACGCCGGCTCGCTGTTCCAAAGGGGGCGTCACACATCAAGCAGCGATCGGGCATCGGCTGGGAAGAGAGCACAGCTCGACTCGATCAAATCGAGGGGCGCGGGGCGATCAGGCACCGATGCCCGACAAAGCGGCAGGCGGTGCGATCTGGGAGAGGAGGTGAACAGATCGAAACAATCCAAGCACGTGACACGTTTTCTCCAGTCCCGCCCGTTGTCAATTGCCTGTTGGGCAAGATTGACCGTTGCATTGCTACAACACTTGGCAAACGTCTTGGAGCTGTGTCCCAGAGATCTGTCCAGCGAGGGGCAGGTACGCAAGAATAACATGATTGAGTCAATGAGAACAGATTTCAGTTGTTGGTCCTGCTGGCATTCCTCGCATTGGCCTTCGCGGCTCCCTGCCTCCTCGAAGAGCGGCACCGCTCAGCGGACGAAGAACAGTGGAGCAGGAACCGGAGCATCGCGGAACATCACTTCAGCCACTCACTCAGGGACAGTGGTCGACCGCTCGGCCCCCTCACTCAGAGGATGTGTCCTGATAAAGTGAAAACCCGTCAGATCGGTACCGAGGTAAGGTGATGGCAAACATGGGGATAGGGATGAGTTTCAAGCATGGTGCCCCCCCCCGCCGACTGGGCGCTGCAATGAAGCAATCGAATGCAAATGTCGAATGAACCCGTTCTCTCGATGCCCTCCCCTCCCCCGCACCTCCCCGCCAGTCCGGCACAAAAATCTTCTGCCGCAATCCCCGCGACAGTGCCCCCTCCCAATCATCTTCTAATTGACCCCTATCCTCATCACCATCGTCAACAACAACATCAGCAACATCATCACCAATACCATCAGTTCATCAACAATATCATCATATTCCTCCTCCTCCTCACCATCGCAATGAGCACCATCCTCATCTTCATCCTCACCCTCATCCCCATCCTCCTCCTCCTCCTCATCATCATCATGATCAAAATCCTCCTCATCGTCATCATCATCATCATCATCCTCATCCTCATCCTCATCATCAGCATCAGCATCATCAGCATCATCATCACCATGATCATCGTCATCATCATCATCATCATCATCATCATCATCGTCATCATCATCATCAGCATCATCATCATCATCAGCATCCCCATCCCCATCCTCATTCTCATCGGCATCATGAACAGCAGTATCATCATCACCATCACCATGACCATCACCATCACCATCACCATCACCATCACCATCAACATCATCAGCATCATCATCATCATCGTCATCATCACCATCACCATCACCATCACCATCACCATCATCATCATCATCATCATCATCATCATCATCATCATCATCATCATCATCATCATCATCATCATCATCGTCATCGTCATCGTCATCGTCATCGTCATCTCACTGCCCGCCCCTCCCACGCACCTCCAGCACATCGATCCTGAGCTTATGCGGCGGGCCAACGCCAGCGCGTGAGCGTCGTCGTCGTCATCGCCGTCGCCGCCGCCCTTGAGGCCGCCGCCGCCGCCGCCGTCCTCGTCGTCGTCGTCGTCGTCGTCGTCGTCGCCGTCGTCGTCGTCCTCCTCCTCCTCCTCCTCCTCGTTGTCGTCGTCGTCGCCCCCCTTCAGGGTCGGCAGCATAGGCCGCGAGATCCTCGCAGGCAGGAGCTCCTGCCGTCGCGGGCCCGCGCCCGTGCCTTCTCCCCCAACCATCCTCTAACTGACCCCTATCCTCATCACCATCGTCAACAACATCAGCAACATCATCACCAATACCATCAGCTCATCAACAATATCATCATATTCCTCCTCCTCCTCCCCCTCCTCACCATCGCAATGAGCAGCATCCTCATCTTCATCCTCACCCTCATCCCCATCCTCCTCCTCCTCCTCCTCCTCCTCCTCCTCCTCCTCCTCCTCCTCCTCACCATCGCAATGAGCAGCATTCTCACCGCGCCGGTGCCCCCCCCCCCCCCGCGACCGCCCCCAGCCGGCGGAGGTCCTGCTCGGGCTGCGGCCTCCCGCCCGCTCCCGCGCCCTGCCGCCGCGGTCCTCCGCGCCGCGGGGCGGGGGGGGGGGGCTGGCGCCGCGAGGGGGAGGGGGGGGAGCTGCCGCCGCGGGGGGGAGGGGGGCGCCGCGGGAGGAGCGGGGGGGCGGGGGGGGGCTGGGGCCACGGGTGGGGGCGGGGCTGGCGCCGCGGGAGGGAGGGGGGGGCTGGGGCCACGGGAGGGGCGGGGCTGGCCCGCGGGGGGGGAGGGGGGGGGCTCGGGCCACGTGTGGGGGGGCTGGCGCCGCGGGATGGGGGGGGGGGGAGCTGGAGCCACGGGCGGGGGCGGGGCTGGCGCCACGGGAGGGGGCCTGGCAGACGAAGTCAACATGGGTCGCCGCTTCCCTGAGATCTGGGCGTTGAACGCCGCCGGGCCTCCGACCATCACGTATGAATCCTGCTCGAAGAAAAGCCGCAGAAAGAGGGTATAGGGCTCCAGTAGATTTTCGCGATGCTGCAATTTCTTCGCAACGTCGGATCTCATGGCAATGGGGGGCGATAAACAGGCGGGCGAAGAAACGTGCACATGCCGTGCGCTTTTTACGCTCCAAGGGGGCCCCTCCAGGGCCCTGGGGCGCACAGAAAGTGCACGTTTCTTCACCCCCCCATGGATCTCCGCCCCAGTACACAACGTCTGACAAGACCGGGACAAAATCGGGCTGGGACAAAACGGGGACCTCTGAGATCGCGCTGTTGTGGAGGACATATCGGGCGCGACGGCGGTTCTAGAGCGTCCTGGGACGGTCTGAGAGCGTCTTTGAACGCTCGGGAGCGAATCTTCCTGGTCCTGGGCGCGCCCGGGCCTGGGGCCACGGAAGGGAGAGCGGGAGGACCACAAGAAGGAAGCACAGGTGTATCTTAGGGGAAGATCTGTCCATCGAAATTTTACCTCGGCCAACCCTCCGGCCCCCCCCCCTGGCCAACCCCTTCTCACGCCAGCCCTGGCCCAGCCTCCTGGCCAATCGTGTGCCCAGGGGAATTCCTCACGCAGAAAGAGATACGGAGACATACAGTCGGGGCCCTGAAGAAGGAACCCTTTAGGTTGGGGAGGGGCTCCGCGTTCCTTAAGTGTTTCACAGCTTCCCGCAGGTTTTCCTTTTATGTTTTCGATAGGAAATCGAAATTTAACTTATGGAAAAAAGGGGCCTCGTTCCTTATTTAGGGTTCCTTAGGTCAACGCCCCGACTGTATACTGGTGAAGGTCCGTGCGGATTCCTAGGGTCGGCGCTGGGCAGCATCCCTGGAGCGTGGAGCGCGAAAGGGTATAGGCGCGGTGGGCGCCTCTCGGGACAGACGCACCGCCAGGAGTTCCAGCGCAGATCCCATGCATCTGCGCGGATCTTCGAACGCGACGGCATGTGGGCGGTCTGCAAGTCAGTGGGGTGGGCGGTCTGGGTGTAGTTCTATAGGAGGTTCTATCGTAGGATCAAGGATTCGACACACATATGTATACATGTACCGGATATGGAAGCATGTGTGTATTTCTGTATACGAACTACAGATTATACATCATCCTTACACTCTTCAATGTCGAGCCGTCGCCACATATCTGATAAAGACAAGCATGGATGCTCACGTCTGATCGGAAGAACGCGGGGTTGCATCGACACATGCACCGATGGTGCAGCAATGCCTTTTATCTTATTATATGTTTGTCTTTCTTTCTCTCTCTCTCTCTCGCTCTCTCTCTCGCTCTCTCGCTCTCTCTCTCTCTCTCTATATATGTATCGGCCCCGAGTCCTTCGCTGCTTTGCTCCCATTGTCCGCGGTCTTGGCTTGCCTCCCGGAGCCGACCTTGTCTGCGGGCTTCTGCGCCCGCAGCGGCTCCTCGGGCGCCGGGCTGCGCGCAGAGGCGCGGAGGAGGAGGAGGAGAGGCAGGGCAATCCAGAGGTGGTTGTGGCCGCGGCGAGCACGAGTTTGAAGGGGCCCTGGGACACACAAATAAATACACACAAGTAAACAGATTCCCCATATTTTACTATATTTTCTGGGTTTTTGTCTTCCCCCCCACTTCCCACATTTCTCCATATTTTCTGGGAAATCGACGAGTAATTGTGTCTGTGTGTTTCTTTCCCTCCTGAGAGTTGGTGGACTGAGCGCCACCTGGGCATCCGAAACTTTCTGGGCGCTCCCAGGAGAGCAGAGAGGCAGAGAGACGCCTGGAAGACCGTGGCAGCCCACCACGCTGTCCTCGCAGCCCCCATGCGCTGTGGACGCGATGTTTGTGCACCACCTGCTAAAACAAGCTGGTCCGGCACAAGACCGTGGATCGGGGCTTCCGTACAAAAATTACATCCCCTGGGAACACGTTTTTCGCACACCACCCCTACAAACAAGCTGGTCCGTCACAAGGTACGCGCGCGGGGGCGGTGGCCATAAATCGCCCCCCGAAGCACGGCCCGCTCCATAGAGGTGCAGGGCTCTGCGGAATCGATCTTCTGCACGACGCCAGTGATGGCGCCGAAGGCGCAGTCCAGCAATGAACTGTGGGGCCTCACGTGCACGGCCACGCAATCGCGGCACGCCAGCCGCGACCGGGTGGGCGTGGAGGAAGAGCTGTCGGTGCACACGGCGCCCTCGCAGGCGCTCTTTCGCGCACCCCCCGCCCCAAGATGACGTCGTTCGAGACCAGGCGCCGGCGGCGGCCAGGGCTTGGCGACCGCATATCAGACCTACCCCTGCAGGCCACACTTCTGAAAAAGCGGATGGGTGCAGCATTTGGAGCATGCCTGCAGCCAAGAGAACCCCAGAGGGGGTGTCGATATAGTTCAGCCTCGAGTGGACCCGCAGGGGTAGGATTCGGGAATGGTCGCAGAAGAGCAGACCTGGGGAGATCAGGCCCCGTTGCGCAACGGGGGTCGGCAGCCCCTGCGACAACGCCATGCCGCCGCAGCCTCCTCCCAGGCCGGGCCCCCAGCGCGGCCGAGCTCGCGAATTTGCGGCCGAACACCTGGTCGTGATGGGCGTCGTCCTCTCACGCGCACGCCGAGCACGTTGGCGACAGGATCTCCCGCGCAGCGCGGAGGCATCCTGCTATTCGGCCACGCCTCCGAGTGTGTGCACGACTGCAGCAGCCGCGCGGAGCCTCGACGTCGTCCATTGCGTGCCCCCGCATATCTCCGCGGCGACGAGGCGTCCCGCTGCCGCCGTCACTGCCACCACCACTGCCAGCATCACGACCACAATCACAACCACAACCACTACCGCTGCTGCCAGCGGCGCTACCGCTACTGCTACCGCCACCACTTGTGCCGCTCCTGCTGCCGATTCCCCCCCCCTGAACAAAGGAGGTGCGGCTCCACGCCTGCTGGCTGACCCCGCTGGCAAGCCTTCTGGGCGCAGGGCTCTGGCTGCTGCTGCTGCTGCCAGTGCCTCCCGCGGGGGAGTCTCGAAGGGAGGGGCCCCCGCCAAGGGGGCTCCTCCTCCTCCTCCTCCTCCTTCTCCTCCTCCTCCTCCTCCTCCTCCTCCTCCTCCTCCTCCTCCTCCTCCTCCTCCTCCTCCTCCTCCTCCCCCTCCTCCTCCTCCTCCTCCCTCCTCCTCCTCCCTCCTCCTCCTCCTCCTCCTCCTCCTCCTCCTCCTCCTCCTCCTCCTCCTCTCCCTCCTCCTCCCTCCCTCCTCCTCCTCCTCCTCCTCCTCCTCCTCCTCCTCCTCCTCCTCCTCATCTTCCTCGTAGTCATCGTCCTCATCCTCCTCGTCCCCTCCATCGCCGTGGTCCTCCCACTGCTGCTGCCACTCATGCTCATCTCCTCCTCCTCCTCCTCCTCCTCCTCCTCCTCCTGCTCCTCTTTTTCGTCCTCCTCCTCCTCTTTTCCGTCCTCCTCCTCCTCGTCCTCATTGTTCTCCTTGTCCTCTTCCCCCCGCTCTTCCTTCTCATCCTTGTTCTTCTCCTCTTGTCCCTGCTGCGCCACACCATGCTCCTGCTGGCTGCCACCACTCCTTCTAATGCTGCTGGACCTGCTCACGGCCACTCTATGCCCCGAAACCGATCAGCCGCAGCTTCCCCCGCACTTCCCTTGACGTGCGACAGGCTCCTGTCATGGCGGCGGGCGCTCAAGTCTGTGCATCCGCGTGCGCGGACCGCGCAGCCTCGAATGATACCCTCTGCCGTCGGGGGCCCTCGGATACAGCCGGCGGCCTCCGGCTGTTGAGCGCCGGTGGACACGGGGCTCCCGCGACGAAGAGGAGTGAGCCTAACGGGTGTTGCCAGAAGCGGCGCTGGCCCAGGGAGCTCCCAGCTTCTCATGCCATTTGGCGGCCTCTAGGGCCACCTGGGCCTTTCGAGGGGTGCTCCGGAAGCCATCTGCGCCTCCCAGGCAGAGCGGGGATCAAGTTGGACCAGGGCAATTTCTAGCCACACCCACGCCTGTCGCGGGTCCAGGATCGACCCCCTGGCCTCTCCTGGAGCGCGCCTTTTCCTCATCGTCCTTCCTGCTCCCTCCATCTCTCTTCCTCCCCCACTCCGTCGCACCAGTAGACGTCTCGGCGGGGCGGGCTGGGCGATTCGCCAGAGACTTCCTCACCGCTTGTGAGCCTGAGGCTTCGAGTTGCCCAGCGGCTACGAGGATGGAGGGCAGGCCGTTTTCAAACGGTGGCTCTCGTCGTAGCGCCCTGCGCGTTGGTTTGCACAGCTTCCGCCAACCTCACGGATGGAAGGCGGCCCGTGCTCGAAACGTGGCTCTCGCCCACCCGCCATGCGCACCTCTTGGCGGTGCCCAGCAGCTACGGGGATGGAGGGCGGCTTCGTCTCTCAACACCGGAGTGTAGCTTGATGTGGCCTTGGCCTACCCTGAGATGGCCAGCAGTGTAAGCAGAAAGCTTAGCTTTGCTGCAGCCACACGCATGGAAGGGCGGCTCCGTTGCTGAACGGGGCTCTCGCTCGATTGCCTGCCTGAGCCTTCTGACCACACCTCTTCGCGTGCATGATGGCCGGGCTGGCGGGGGGCTATTGGGGCCCCTATGATCGCTCGGGGCCCTCAGGGCTCTTGGGGCTCGCAGAGCTCATGGGGCTCTAAGGACTCTTTGGGCGTCCAAGGCTCTTTGTGCACTTGAGGCTCTCAGGGCTCCTATAGGTCTCTAACGAGGTCTCGCCCGGTGCCTGAAGCCCGTGGGGCGCTCGTCTTTGACGGTGGTGCCTCTCGCAGTGACGAGGGCACGCCTCGAGGGACTCGGGAGCAGGGGGCCCGGGACGGGAGGCCGCCTCGCGGCGTCGTGCATCACTGATGCCTCCTGGGCTCACTCTGGCCCTCCCCGCTCTCCTCGTCCTGCTGCTCCGACCGTTGCAAGCGCCCCTCGCGCGGGGAAGTGCAGCCTTCCGATGAGGTCGAGTCGAGGGCGCCCGGCCGAGTGCAAGGGCGCAGAGGGCGCCTGCGGGGGGGATCCTCCTGAATTTCCTTCCTATTTCTCCTCCTGCGCGGCCTGCCGATCGCTGCACGCGGTGCGACAGCAGCGGCCTGCGTGCGACAGCAGCGGCTTGCGCGCCCCTGAGTTCTGACAAGCCGGCCGGGGTTCCGAGCTTTAATAATGACTGCAGCCAAGCGAGCTCCAGCGGGGGTGTCCGATACCCCAGCGTTAAGTGGACCCACAGGAGTAGGGTTCGCAAGGGGTTGCAAATGCCTGGGCTTGGTCCCCTTTGTGCTACACGCAAGAGTGACCCTAGGCATGAGTGACATCTGGTGCGCGGAGCACTTCCCATCGCTCGGACGTGCATTCCCCGTGCATTTGTCGGTCTTGTGCGGCGATGTTTTCGCAAGATGACCTAGGATGCTCATCGATAGCCCCCGCCAAGAAAAATTCAAACGTCCGAGCGATACCACGAGAAGGGGGCGCAAGAAGGCCAAACCCAAGCGCGCAAGCAGCAGCTATCGACAGGCGCTCGGCGATCGTGGTGGCCTCGATGAGCCCGCACCAAGGGTCACTCCAGCGAAGGGTCAATCTTACGTTTTGTCGATCCTCGCGCCCCGACGCTGAGTGGACCCGTAGGGGTACTCCAGATTTCGTAATAAAAGGGAGGGGGTCTGGACCCTCCAAGACAAGCCATTTCAGACCTCCCCCGTGGGAGAACCCTCCAAAACATCGTCCCCAGACCCCCCCAGGCCCTCCAAGATAGCCTGGAAGAGACCCCCCCGAAATGAGACCCCCCTCCCTTTATTACGAAATCTGGAGTACGGTCGGACCTGAGGCAGAAACACACCCTCGAAGAACACGAGGCCCCTGGCTGGCCCAAGCGCAGCACCTTCGAGGGTGCCCTCCCCCAGGAGGCACAGGAACACCCAGCAGACACCAAGAACGTTGGGGCACCTTCCCTTGGCGGCGAGCGAGGGGGGGAAGTGAGAAGGAGAAGGCCTTCTCAGAAGGTGGCGGGACTTCTCAGAAACCCACGCGCCTTCTGAGAAATGTTTCCTGTCTTCGGGGAAGGCTTCGAAAACTTCTCAGAAGGCCGGGGGACTTCCGAGACTTCTGAGAAGGCCCGCCCCTTCTCACTTCCTCCCCTCGCTCGCCGCCGATTCCCCTCACCGAACTTTTTTTTCCGATGAAGACTCAGCAGCCGAGGGCCCTTAAACGAGACCCGGGGGCGAAGAGCCACCCAGACCTTCGGCGACAGCCGAACGCCTCATGTACACTTTGGTACCAGTCCTCTGCGCAAAAGCGTTCTGACAGAGCCTGCCGACTACGACATCGTTTCAATGCACCGGCAAGGACGGAAGCAAAAACCTCCCCGCACCGAACTTGTCCTCACACCTCGGCCCGACCGCAGGGTTCGCAGGTACACCTCGGTCCGACCGCAGGGTTCGCAGGTGGTCGTGACTGCTTGGGCTTTGGCGGCCGCGAACCCCGGCGCCCCTCAGGCGAGGGGCCCGCCCCCGCGTGTCCTCTATTGAAGGGGCCCTGGGACACACAGATAAATACACACAAATAAACAGATTCCCCAGGCTTTCCCATGTTTTCTGGGTTTTTGTCTTCCCCCCACTTCCCATATGTTCCTATATAGTCTGGGGAGTCGAAGATCAATTGTGTCTGTGCTGTTCCCCTCCTGATCTACATGGCAGGCGGAGCACCGCTTCGGTATATGCCTCGAGAGAGAGAGAGAGAAAGAGAGAGAGAGAGAGACCAGAGTAACATAGATAGAGAGAGAGAGAGAGAAACAAAGAGAGAGAGAGAGAGAGAGCGAGAGAGACGTTTTGTGGGAGCGGCGGCGGCCTCTCCAGGCCTCTTGGTTGACCCAAAGAGGGGCCCACTGAAAAGGGGGTGGTGCCATAGAATGGAGCACTTGCATGGCAAGTGTACTGCGCCAGAGAAGTGTACTGCAACTGCTATGTAGTGCACGCGAAAGTCCAGCAGTACATCTGCGCACCCGGATGTCTTGCACACCCCATAAATCTGCTGCACCAGATCTATTGCGCCACTCTTTTTCACGGGACCCCCTTGCGGGTCAACCAGACTCCAGGCCAGGGCTCGACAAAAAACAGTATTGCTCATTTTCGCTTTGTTTTCGTGCTTCCTCGTTCTGTCTTCGCTCCCCGCCCTCGCTGCGAACCGACCTCAGAGCGAAGACGGTGAGCCCGCCTGCCTGGAGGCTGCGCCGCCAGCTCGTGCTCCTGCGTGCGCCTGCCCGCCTCGCGTGGCACGGGCACGGTGCTGCCTCCTCCTCCTTCTCCTCCTCCTCCTCCTCGTCCTCCTCCTCCCCATCCTCCTCGTCCTCCTCCTCCCCTCCTCCTCCTCCTCCTTCTCCTCCTCCTCCTCCTTCCCACCAACCAAGCCCGCCCAGGCCCTCCGGGGCGACGGACGTGCACGCCGGCTCGGACGTGAACGCCGGCTCGGACGGGCCCGGGAGGCCCAGACGTGCACGCCGGCGCGGCCCCACTTCAAGGAGTGGTTCCGTCGAGGCGCACGTGGAGGGCCGACGGAACACGCCATGCAGCATGGAGTGTCTCGATCCCGAGGAATCTCACACCGAGGCGATGACAAGCGAGCAAGACCAAAAGCGCAGCGGTGGATAAGCAACCACTGACATGTCATTCTGAAGTCACAGATCCCTAAAGAAGGCCGAGGAAGAAAGAATAACAGGGGGATGTTGTTGTTGATGATGATGATGATGATGATGGTGGTGATGATGATGGGGAGGAGGAGGAGGACGGATGAGGATATCCATGGGGAGGCCGTAGGAGGAACTAAAGGAGGAGGGGTTGCGAAGATGATAGTGGATCTGGCCAGGGTAGCCAGGGGTCTCGCGCATTCAAAAGAAATAAGAGAATAAAACACTCACTGTGGCGGCACCGCAAGGCGCGACTCGGCGTTCCCACAGGCTCGGATGAGTCTCGCGGTGCCCGAACCGTTGCTGCAGAGTGTTGGCGAGTTCCAATATCTAAAACGTGACGATAAGGTCGCGAAATTCGGTGTCCAAACCTTTCCGACGTGAGATCGATCCAACATGTAAAACGCACCAAACATTCCACTCGTTTGCGACGCACAGATATTGCCATGGATTCCCGTGTCTGGACCATTGCGGCGAGCGTTGATGGCCCCCTATCCCTTGGCCCTGAGAAGAAAACAACATACAGGCAACTCAGGGTCACCAATCCACTGGGAATGCAAATGAAATATCGGCTGCTGGCAGGCCTGGAGATGTACCAGACGCCGCGACCGTTCCAGAGCGTTACAGAAGGATCCGGCAGCGCTCTGGGGAGACTTACCCTGCTGTGTCTCCTCCTCTTTCTCCTCCTCCTCCTCCTCCTCCTCCTCCTCCTTCTCGAGCCTACTTCGTTGCCTGCCGCACTCCTCCTAGCTGCCGCGCCCGCTAACCTCAAGCCAACCGATAAGCGAGAAACAGAAACGATGCCTGCCAGGGTGGCCGCCGTGGGAAGGCGGCCGGGTGAGCGACATGGGAAGGGAGTCAGGACGCACTGGGCCAGCGCAAGCCCGGGTCAGCCAGGGCCACGCCGAGAACCCAGGCTGGTCACCAAGCAACTCTCGAACCCGGGACGGCGGAGGTAAAACAGGGCTAGGATCGGGATAAATCGCTCCAGAGCGTTCCAGAGCGCTCTCAGAGCGTTCCGGAACGCTCTGGATCGGCCGCGGCGCCCAATACATCCTCCAAACCCGCCGATTCTCAGAGATTTCGAGTCATCCCGATCCGATTTTGTCCCGATCTTCGCGTCGTTTTAGGAGGGCGGGGGGGCGGGTCAGCTCCAGGTCGCTCCCAAGCCCGGGTCAGCCAGAGAGGGTTGGCCGGCACCCTTCAGCGCTGACCCCCGCTTCGTCGTGAGCCCCAAGGGAGAGAGGAGGGGGGCATCTCCAGTGGCCACGGTACGACCTATAGGGGGACAAACAATGACATAAACATAAAAACTCTGAGGTCCGCGTGGATTTCACGGATCGGCGCTGGACAAACAATGAGATAGACATAGAAACTCTGAGGTCCGCGCGGATTTCTCGGATCGGCGCTGGACCCCGTTGGCGGCGCCTCCGGCGGAGGGGGGGTCCAGCGCCGATCTGAGGAACCCGCGCGGGCCTCAGAGTTTTTGTGTCTATATCATTGTTCGTCCCCTTACGCACTGCCGCGGCAGCGCCTGCCGCCGGTTCGCCTTTTCCGCACTGGCCCGCACGTCCGCGAGTCCGCCTGCGGCGCCGTCGGCGGCGCTCGCGCCCGCGGCGCGCGGGACTTGCGCCCCTCGGGCGTGGAGCTGAAGGGCGACGCTGTGGGCGACCCCCTCCATGGCCGCCTCGGAAGATCACGGAACCGATCTCCTGGCCCCACTGGCCCGGTAAGGGGAGGAGGAGGAGGAGGAGGAGGAGGAGGAGGAGGAGGAGGAGGAGGAGGAGGAGGAGAACGAGGAGGAGGAGGAGGAGGAGGAGGAGGAGGAGGAGGAAGAGGTGGAGGAGGGAAGGAGGAGGGGGAGGAGGAGGAGGAGGCGGAGGAGGAGGAGGAGGCGGAGGAGAAGGAGGAGGAGGAGCAGCAGCAGCAAAAGCAGAAGCAGCAGCAGCAGCAGCAGCAGCAGCAGCAGCAGCAGCAGCAGCAGTGGCACCGAGGGCGGCGGCGCCTTCTCGCACAGCGCGGCCGCGCAACGCGAGGGAGGGTGGCCTCAGCCACTGAGGACGATCATGCTGGGATGTTTGCGACGGAGACCGCGTCGGGGACGTTGTCGCCCATGATGCAGGCATGGCCACTCGAAGTGGCAGTCTTGTTCATGAAGTTGTCGTGGCCACCCGAAGTGGCACACACATAACCAGCCTCGAACTTATCCCTATCCCTAGGATTGACACGCCCAAAGGCGATGACAATCTTAGGGATGCACCCATAGAAACTGAGGGAGCCCCTAAGATCGCCATCGTGATGAGGCGATGCCCAACATATGGGTAGGGATAGGTTCCAGGTGGTAAACACAGGCGCTGCAGGCGTGGAAGCAACCAGTCCACGAAGTGAAACAGCCCCGCGGCTCGAAGCTGTTGAGGAGGTCGTGTGGCCATAGCGGCCTCAAGCTGTTCGGGCGACAACATCCAGTATCGCGGTCGATTGGCTAATCGCATGTAAGGTAGCCTCGACATGAAGCTGGAGTAAGAGACCAGCATCTTCACGAAGGTTTGGGAGGTGAGGGTGAGGGTGGAGCCGAGGCTGATGCCAACCACGCAGCTGCTTGTAGAGAAGCCTCCGACGATTGATCTCCGCAGCACGAGTGGCAGGATCAGCACCTTCATCGAGGAGCGAGGCCTCGATGGTGGCTCGCTGCTGGGATGAGCGAGAACATGATGCCCTGCAAACGTCCACCGCAAGACGCTGCTTGACAGCCTCGCACGCATCACCGTCCACGTGTGCGAAGAGGTAGTCGATTCCCCGCGTGTCGAGCTGCGTGAGCACGAAAGGAAGGCACCACACGAGCCACTGATCGAAGTCGTCCAGGTGGGGATTCCCATAGAAGACGGTCGGCAACAATTGCTCGGCGATGGAGGCGACGACGTCAGTGAACTCGTTCAGGTAGTCACGATTGCGTCCTGGATGCGGTCGCTGGCGAGGGCGCGGAGAAGAAGCGTGGCTAAGACTGGCTGGGGGGGCTAGAACGATGGGGCCTTCTTCCTCCTCCTTCCTCCTTCCTCCTCCTCCTCCTCCTCCTCCTCCTCCTCCTCCTCCTCGCACTGCCCGAGGGCCGAGCCACTGGGCCGCCCGGGGTCCGCCTCCCCCGCTCAGGACGTGCCGCCTCAGGTGCCGAGCCGGTTCTTCGAGGACGGCAGGCGCGCTCCGAGCGGCCCGCGCCCACATCGCCCCATCGTTCTAGCCCACCCCAGCACCGACCCCGAACAGCCGGTGACCTTGGTATGAAACGCCGGCACCAACCAGTAGCTGGCGAGGTACCTCTGGTCCCCGAGGCGCGACACGACGAAGAAGGCCCACACCTGAATCCTGGGGAGCATCTGGGCGCCCTGGGCGACCAGGGGCGCCATCCTCACCTCCTGGGACACTTGGAGCACGATGGCCACAAGGGTCCAGAGGATGGAAAGGAGCAATTGGTCCACGTTCCTGAGGCTGCAAGGTACGCGGGCACTGAGAAGGGTCCTGCTGTGCCGTTGGAGGCGCAAGTGGACCTTTCCACTCGTCTCGAGACGGTCAGCGGCCGTCCGACATGGCTGACGGCGCAGCACGTACTCGCTGGTGGCGCCACAAGGGAGGTTCTTCAACTCGAGGGCCATGTAATAGGACAAGCAGGGACGACGCACCGTGGCGAAGAGAACGTTCGCGTCGATCATCCTTGGGGGATTCATCTGGAATCCCGAAACCAAGACGGGCCAGCACCAGTGCCATGGGCGAACGCTCTCGGGAAGCAGGCGCGATGAACCAGACGCTCGCGCTCGGAATAGGATTGGATCTCATCTGTGCCACCACATCCCAGTACTCACCGAGCACGATCAGGGTGCGCATGCATGCGGTACGACGCGCGCCAACCCACCACCAAGGTGCGCACAACAATCCAACGCCCGGCTATGGAGATACGCCCAAGAAGATCACGCAGCCGAATTCAGCGAGATGCCAGGTCTCTTGGAGGCGGGCCAGGACCATGCCACTTGTTGACGCGCTTGCCAATGGTCTAATAGAATCTGTCTGGGAATATCGCTTTCGTCCGGTGGTTGATGAAGGCGCGCTGGGGCCGCGAACGCTGATGTGCTTGCCGTCTGTTCTTTCCAGAACGGGGGCGACCAGAAGCCGCGGCAAAAGTTAGGAAGGGAACAGGCTGAAATGGCCACCTCCTCGAAACGCAAGTAGCACTGCTGCCAATTTGGGGATGGTCAAATTGGCCGTCCTCCACATGGAACCAAAGTTGTAAAGCTTCATAGATCGCGGTGACGGACTGGGCGACCAGGATGCCATCGTAAGAGTGTCCTGCAATCTGAGATAGCTGGGTGGTATCCGCAGCACACGACGGAGTCCATGAAACTCACGTTTGCTCACATCCACTGGGATCCAGAAGAATTGCGCGACGTAGCTGGTGACCGTGATACATGGCGTGTGGTACAACCTGGCCGAGACATCAATGGGGGCTGTAAGCGAAAGTGCCACAGGACGTTCCCGCCACTTCGTGGCTGTCTTCATCCACTGACGCCCACTTGTGGCACAAAGGCCGATGTGGGCACCAAGGTAGGGACCCGCGTCGGCGATTGTACTCAAGGTCCATGGTGGTACTTCGCGTCGCAGGCAGTCCTAAAGGATGCTGCGGGCGTCAGCCGAGAGAGATGTCTAACGTGCAATCATGGCACAATTGTCCGTAAACAACTTGAGGTGTCCATATTTTCCGCGAGCGCAAAGACCTGGTACAATGGGGGCAATCGGTGTAGTTGCGCAAGGTGCAGCCCTGCGTCGTCATCGCACGCAGCAGCGACGCCAAGAGACTTCACAAACAGGGCCTGGCCAAACGCAAAGGTGACGGCGTCCATCGCGATAACCCAACTGGTGCCAGACAAGAGGCGCCCTTGGGCAATCCCAGAACGCACGCAGCAGACAAAATGAGATCCCCCGTTCAGAGTGGCCATAACCTGTTCAGCATAGCATAGGGAACGCGAGCCGTTGATGAAACCAGACTCGCAGCGATTGCCGAGCGAGGTTAACAGCCATTGACGACCAAGCGACGGACGCGCGGCCGCGATGTCGCAGGACCTGGATGGGGTAGTCCGCGGCTGCTGTCGGGGACCAACCAGCGAGGCGTCCAAGGACATGCATGTCCAATCTATGTTGCGCAAGTTCCGCCCACGAATGAAACCTTGTTGGATGCGATGTGCCTGTTGTTCGACTGTGATCTGCATTGGCTCATGAAGAGCAACCGCAAAAATTTTGGAGTCCGTGTTCTTCCTGGAGATGGGGCGCAATGCGCTGGCGGCCCTCGCGCGCGTCGCATTGCCCATCTCCTCCGAGGGCAACTGGGGGTCGTTGAAGTTAGCCAGGGCACGGCCAGACACCATGCGCTGCCAGGCAACATCCTCCAGCGTGTCCAGAGCTTCCGATGTCGATATCCAGGCGCAGCATGAGGGCCCCGTAAACTCGGACACGCTAGACCCGGACGCCCAACATCCCTCGAAAGCAATGTTTCCAGACGGTAGCACGAACAAAACACTGCACTGCAACCTTTCCAAAAGAAACCCGGACACAGGCCCTCAAAGCCCGCGGCGAGACCACCCCAAACCCGGACACAAACCCGGATCTTGCTGTGCAGCAAACGAAAAATGCACGGCTGCTGAAAAATCTGACTTTGCAGGAACCGGTCTCGCTTCCTTGGGCTTACGTGTGCTGGTTTATCTGCGTCCTGGTCTCCGGGGGCCCGACAGCATGGGGGGCGATCTGGGCCGGGCGCGGCAGCGCGAGCACGACGGGCGGCCCTCTTGAAAGCGCCGGCCGCGGGGAGCGAAAGGCGCGGCGGCTGGGAGGGCGGCGGCGCATGCCGCTGGACAAACTGGCGCGCGCCTCCAGGATCCACCGATTGATGCGCAGAGATGGGCAGCCAGCGCCGCTGGCGCTCAGGAAACGTGCCCAGCGGAGAGCGGATGGCCGAGTCCAAGTCAGGAGCGCGGATGCCCACGAGCGCGATGACCCTCGCAGCGGAGGGTTCCCGGGCACGAGCTCGCCCATGGAGGATGCGAGCTTGCTCATGTTGATGCTCTGCCTCAGCTCCTCGGTCGGCAATCTGAACGCGTCTGGCCCGGGCAGGGGCGCGCTCGCGACGACGGGCGAGATGCTGATGATGCGCCGCGCGAGAGATCTCGCAACACCCAACCCCGAACCGAGCTGCGCCGCGTCGGGCGAGACATCGAGGAAGCGAGCCCCCAGGCTATTGCGCGAGATGAGTGCGCGCGCCGACTTGAGGCCCTGTCGCCGAGCGGCTCGCGAGATGGAGCGCGGCGCCAGGAGCTTGACCCCGTCGCCGCGTTGACATCGCTGTCCGCCAGGAAGCCGAGGCAGAAAGTTGCGGATTAACCTGGCGGCCTCCACCAAGTTTGCCTTCGTAGCTTTCCAACTGATTTCAGGCGGCGCCGCTGAAATGCGAGACTGGGCCATGAGTTTCTCGTGAACTTTCCCGTGGAGAGGTGTCCGAACAATGAAATCAGGCATAGCCTGCACCTCCGGACCCTCCTGCCGCGCGAAAGAGACAGAGAGGGGCCGAGGGCCACGCGAGCGGTGAGCCGTCGATCGCAGAGGGCGGTCGGGTCGGTGAGGATCGCGAGCTGCGTGGGCAGGTTAGGTAATGCGGGATGACGATTAATAAAAAATGAGAGAGAACGATTAAAAAAAGGGTTGTCTGCTATTTCTGCACAAGATTTTGACTGGAGGAGAACGATTTAAAACATAGTTTTCCAGCCCGCGGCCGGTGTTTTCTAATCGTCATCCCGGGCGCCGCCGCGTGAACACGACCCCCGGGGGAAAACTCGTGAAGGCTCTATCGATGCGCGTCTGCTTCCGAGCGCGCGGGCCAGACCTCGCGGACCCCCCCTTCCGCAGCGACCTCATCGAGCGCCCCAGAGAGCCGACGCCAAAAGGCCTGCTGGGAGGAGCCCCCGCCGATCGTGGGCAGCTGAATCGGCGCTGGGTTGGCATGAGGCGAGGCAGGCTCATCATAGACATTGACATCCCCCAGTGCCAAGAAGAGCCCGTGCAGCGGGTCAGAAGTGGCCCAGCGCCGATGCCTCGCCCGCACTTTGGCGAACGCCGCACGGTGGGAGCGGTTCAGATCGGAATTGCGAGCGTTCATGGAAGCGGCTGCGCACGCGAAACCATGGAAATGTTCGACCACCTGACCCCTCCCAACAACGACTGAGGAGAGCACCGAAGTATCGGGAGCGGCCAAGAGGGGGGTGTCCAAGAGGGGGGGGTGCAAATCATGACCGGCGGCATGTGCGCGGCCCAGCGGGGGGGCCAGGGACGTAATGAAATAAGAAGGGGCGCCATGAAATCTGGGGAAATACCATGGCCCACGCCATGATATCCACCCCCCCTAGTCATCACCCCCCTCGTTTCCGCCCCCGAAGAGGTGAGCACCGAAGCATAGAGCTCAAAAATCGCATCCTGGGCGGCGAGACGGGCTGGAAGAGCTAATTACGGCACCAAGGGGGGCGGGAGCACCAGAAGGCGCGCGCACCCACCAGGGCCAGAGCTGGCGAGCTCGGGGGGCCCGCGCGGGGGCACCGGCCTCGGGGGGCGGAGGGCAGGGCGGAGAGCTCGAAGATGCCGGGGGACATTGATGGGGCCCAGGGACACACAAATAAACATACACAAATAAAGATATTCCCCATATTTTCCTATATTTTCAGGGTTTCTGTCTTCCCGCCCACTTCTTAAATTTTCCCATATTTTCTGAGGAATCGAGGATTACTTGTGTCTGTGTGTTTCTTTTCCTCCTGACGCATGAAGTGGCCGAACCTGAGCTTGAAAGGGAAGCAGCACTCGAAGAGGAAGCGCTTGATGCCGGCGCGGAATTAATTTGAGGAGGCCTCCGAACTTGAAGAGGGCGCGGAGCTGGAAGAGGTCGTGGCACTTGAAGGGGAATAGCTCGATGCCGAAGCAGAACTTGAAGAGGGCGCTGCACGTGAAGAGGACGCGGAATCTGAAGAGGTCGCGGTGCTTGAGGAAGAAGGGCTTGATCCCGACGCAGAACTCGAAGAGGACGCGGACTTCGTAGAAGAAGTGGGACTTGAAGAGGAGGAGCTCGCACTGGAAGAACCTGACGACGACTGTCTCGGCGTCGGCCGGGGGCCCTGGTCCTAGGTGAGGTCCACGACATCAAGCTTGTCGAAGAACGGGGGCAGCACCGCACCCCCCCACCCCAGTGCCAGGATGCCGGGGTGCAGCACCGGCACGGATGCGAGGCGACGAGACGTCTGAACCGCGCAGCAGAGCCATGTACCTCCTGCAGGAGCATGATGCATCGCATCCGCATATAGAGTGCAATGAGGGACGACTTGTTCTTGCGCTTCTTCGCATCGACCGCGAGTTTCGAAAACTGGGCGATGGCTGCTAAAACCGTGGCTGCTAAAACGGCCCTCCCAGAAGGAAAAAGCAACTTCCCGGAATGAGGCGCGGCACGCGAGACAGTCAACGGGCTTCTTCCCGGAAGGACGAAGACAACTTCCCGGAGGTCGATTTTTGCAGCCACGGACTTAGCAGCCCTTGCCCGACTTCCGAGAGCTAATCCCGCACGTTCCAGGAGACAACCTTCACCGACGGCGGGACAGATACAAAGCCATGAAGGTTACCCCCGCGACACTCCTCGATCCTCCGAGGAAAAATCATGAGAGGGAATTTCGAAGCCGCCTGCGTCGAGCTGGAGGGCTCGCGCTTGTGCGAAGTCCCAAACGATCTTGGTGTCGATGTGAGCTGCCGTGCCGACGTCAAGGTCACAAGAGGAAAACCCGCGGCAGAAATCGTTTTGATTGTACGGGCGAAACCTTGGGCGTCTTTGAGAAGCAGAGGAAGCCGACGCGTTTGGGTTTCCTGCCTGATCTGTCTGGGGCTGCGATCCGTGGACACGAGGAGTGGGACAGTTCGTCCTGAGACCGCCGAGGTGCTGAACTGCCGCCACGCGCCTCCAGCGACCTTACGACCTCTAGCCAATGCCGTCGCCCTTTTGCGTGGTAATCGCCCTGCCGCCCAGTAGCCGAAGTGCGATCCCCCTAGCAGGCACATCACCCCCCAGCGACGCCCCGCAGGATCAACCCCCGACTCGGCGAACCAGTCCTGAGGAGCAAGCTCGACGAGCTGGGGGGCCACGAGGTCGGAACATATCCCTATCCCTATGCTGGGCACCTCCTCATCACGATGCCAATCTTAGGGATTTCCTTTTTTTTGAGGGCGGATCCCTAAGATTGTCATCGCCTTTTGGCGTGTCAATCTTAGGGAGAGGGATACGCTCGAGGCTGGTAAGGGGGGCCTGTCGAAGTCCACATCAGCAGCGACGTCGGGGAGCGCGAGCCGGGCCTCCACGCGCGCGAAAGTCCGATGGATCTCGCTGATGGCCGTTCGTTGAGACTCGTCTGTAGGAAAAAACACACTGTGGGGAAACAACACACACTGTGGGAAAAACACACACACACACACACACACACACACACACACACACACACACACACACACGCACTGTGGGAAAACACACACTGTGGGAAAAACACACACACACACTGTGTAGGAAAAACACACACACACTGTGGGAAACAAGCACACAGTCTGTGTGAAAAAACACACACAGTGTGTGTGTGTGTGTGTGTGTTTTCCCCACCGTGTTTTTTTTCCCACAGTGTGTTTTTTCCCCACAGACTTTGTGTGTGTGTTTCTTCCCACAGACTCGTTTAGAATCAGCAATACGTCGTCGAAGTTGCGCAGTCTCACTTTCTACCGCGTCGACAATGACCATCGTCTCTGCATGGATCGTCTCGGCGACTGTGCGAACAGTAGTGCGCTTGAGCTCCCCTAGCGTAGAGTCAACATGGGCCGTGAGCTTCGCATAGAGAGGCTGACGCAGCGCTTCGAGTGAATCAGCCGGGGAAGGGCCAGCACAGGTAGCGGCACCTGCAGGTTGAGCTGGTGGAGGACGCTGCTGTTGGCCTGCATGCCCTGCCGCAGGGCCTGCAGCTCCAAGGGCATCAGCGCCATGGTGCCAGAGGTCAGCACGCTGAAGGGGATCCTTAAGTCGGGAGGCGAGCCCCTGAAAAGGGAAAGTCGGAGCCCTGTCGAGCCCCATCCATCGCCGCTGGGATGGAGATCGGCATGGGCGCAGTGGTGCCGCCAGGACCTCCCGCAGCCTGGTGTCCACCCGCGCGACCAAAAGAACGTTCTTCTCGGAGGTGGCGCCGAGGAGAGGCAGGGCGGTCACTCTCGTCCCGTCGATCAAGTCGCCGATCCCGATCGTAGTCAGCAGGCTGCCTGCGAGAGCGTCGCGGGCGTGCGTCGTCACCACCACCGCTGCGGGAGGCACTCGGGTCATCCTCGTCCATGGCCGAGCCCGATGCGTGTCCACAGCCCGGCATGCCTGCAGAAGCACGAGGAGCACGCCAGACACGAGGAACAGGCAGCCGAGGGCGAGGGAGGCGCCGCAGCAGCGACGCGGGCGGGGCGCCAGGAACATGGACGGTGTTATGAAAGCTGGGATGGGAGCCTACCCCACTGAGGCAGTGAAGGAATAACCACTTTGGCCTTGAGCCAGAATGGCTACGGAGGAGGAGGAGGAGGAGGAGAAGGGAGGAGGGAGGAGGAGGAGGAGGAGGAGGAGGAGGAGGAGGAGGAGGAGGAGGAGGAGGAGGAAGAGGAGGAGGAGGAGCAGGAAGAGGAGGAGGAGGAGGAGGAAGAGGGAGGAGGGAGAAGGAGGTTGGAGGAGGAGGAGGAGGAGGTGGGGACATGCTGTTCCCTTGGGGCCTCGCGGGCCCTATCCCGGCCTGGGCGGGTGACCTGGTGGGGCTGAGATGCCACGGCCCAGGTGGGGCTGAGCCTCGCCCGCGGCGAGCTCCTATCCCCACTAGCGTGTCCCTGGCCCTGCTGGCCAAGCTACCAACCTGGATGAAGACATCTGTTTCAACGCAACGCTTTTGGAGAGGGGGGAGGAGGGCTGGGGGGGAGAGCGCGCACTGTCGATGAGCAGCACACCTCCTGTCTCCCCCGGTGCAGTCTGCGAATGCCTGTTCCCTCGGGTGTCGCGGGCCCCGTCCCCACCTGGGGGGGTGGGCTGGTGGGGCTCGGACTTGGCGGCGAGCAGAGGGAGGTAGAGGCGGAGGGGAGAACGCGTCTTAGAAAGAGGCTGCTTGTTAGAAGGCGCGGGCCCGTGTCCGTAGATGCAAGGCACGCGCCTTCTAAGCAGCCTCCGTCTCATAAGCCGTCCCCCTTCCCCTCTCCCCCCTCTGCGCGTGGCCGACGAGATGCCATGGCCCAATGGGAATGGGGATAACGCTAGAGCCTAGCTGCACCGATACGCAACACGCGACACGCAGCGTCTTGTGCTCGGAGCCCGAGACGTAGACTGAACACGCAGATCCGCCGCGATACGCTCGCCCAAACGTGGGCCGACACGCTGAGCCGACACGCCACACATTCACACGGACGTCTTGAACGCGGCCCTTGCTGCGTTCGAGCACGTGCGAATCCCAGGGAGGCGAAGCGCAAGAGGAAGGCGCTGAGCCTCCATGGCCCGCCCCGCGCCCGCGGCAGCCGCCTCCTCCAGGCGCCCCGCCTCTCGGCTCAGCCGGCGGCCCAGCTCCTCCAGCTCGCCGCGCAGCGCGCCCAGCCGCGCGCTGCTCGCCGCCCGCAGCTCGGCCAGGTCGGCCCGCAGCGCGTCGTCGCGGCCGGCCACGCGCCGCAGGGCCTCGGCCACCTGACTACCTACCAGACCACCCCAACCCAACCCGAAGACCCGAATTTCGGGTTGGGGGGGTTAAGGGTTCCACATGTGTTTTTTCGATGTTTCCCGACCCCCCCCCACTAGAAATCGAGGGTAAATCTGAACCTTCGGGTTGGGTTGGGGTGGTTTGGTGGGTGGTGGCCACCTGCGCCAGCTCCTGGGGGGGCGGCGACGGGAGGGGCGCGCCGCCGCTGGGGCGGCGACGCCTCGCCGAGAGGTCGGCGAGCGTCGCCCGCTGGCGATGCCCGCGCGCTCCTGGGCGGCGTGGGCCCTCGGGCCCCCGTCGGCGATCCACGGGCAATTTGGGGGGTCGATGCGCCCCCCGCCCCCCCCCCCCGAGCCTATCCTCCGCGGCGCCACGTCGTCACCCAATGGATCGGGTCATGACTGGGCTCTCTGGCGGCCGCTCGGGTCGATCCGGGCCCCCCCCTGCACGCCCTCGGCGAGGCGCAGCTGGTGGAAGGCACCCCGAGGCCGGAACACCACCGAGAACCACCCAAAAAACGCTTGAAAACCTCGAACTTCGAGCCACTCCCCCCCCTCGACGCTGCCCCTGAGCTCCGCGCGCACGTCCCCGCCGCCGCCATCCTCCGCGCCGCGGGCGGCGAGCTCGAGGCGCAGGCGGGCCTCGTGCTCGGCCAGGGCCTCCGAGACGCGCCGCTGCAGTGCCTCCAGGCGCTGGTCGGCGCAGGCCCGCGCGGCGTCCCGCGCCTCCTGCCGGATGAGGCCCCGGGCCTCTGAGCACCGCTGAGCCGATCCCGGTCCCTACTGGCGTGGCCTGGGCCCCACTGACCGACCTACCCATCGAGGTGCGAGTGTACCGATCCCTTCGGGTCTCGCGGGCCCTATCCCGGGCCCACCTGGGCGGGTGACCTGGCGGGGCTGAGACAGCATGGCCCAGTGGGGATGGGGACAGGCCGTGGGATGCTGGGCCTCGCCCGCCGCGAGCTCCTGGGCCACCTCCGAGCGCAGGCTCCGCAGCAACCACCGCGCCTGCGCCACCCGCTCGAGCACCGCCTGGCCGGCGGCGGCGGGGGCGCCCGGCGCCTGCTCCAGGCCCGCGGCGGCCAGGCCGGCGCAGAGGTCCTCGTGGGTGGCGTCGTCCAGCTCGTGCCGCGCCACCGCCTTGCCGACGGCCCTGGCCTGCCTGGCCCGGGCGCGGAGCTCCTGCGCCACGATGCGCCTCGTCTGCTCCTCGGACCGCAAGGCCGCGTCGGTCCGCCGGCCCGCGGCCTCCTCGCCCTCGAGCTCGGCGCGGACATGGCCGCCGATCTCCGCGCAGGAGCTGCGGGCGGCACGCCCCAGGGCCTCCGAGTGCTGCGCGGCCTCCTCGGCCGCCTGTTCCCGCAGGCCTGCGCACAGCCGCGCCGAGGACGACGCCAGCTCCGAGATCCCCGCGGCGACCTCCTCGCGCGCCAGGCCCGCTGCCGAGCCAACCACGGCCTCGGCCTCACGCCACGCAGCGGCCTCCAGCCGGGCGCTGGCGCCCCACCCCGCCACCTCCTCGGCAGCGCGCGACGCCCGCCTCAGCGCGGCCGCGCTCTCGCCTTCCAGGCGAGCACTCGCCTCTGCGCTTCCCCTCGCCGCGGCCGCCTCCTCCCTCGCCGAAGCGCCCCAGGATGTCGCCTCCTCCGACAGCAGCCCCACAGCCTCGGCGCAGCTGGCGCCCAGCCTGCTCCGCTGCTCGTCCGCGCAGGCCCGCAGCTCGTCCAACAGCTCGCGCTGGACGGCGCCGAGGCCGCCGAGGGCCGCGCCGGAGCTGACCAGAGCGCGCCCTGCCTCGGAGCGGACCTCTGACACGGTCTGCGCAGAGGTGGCCGCAGCGTCGGTGTGCACTCTGTCGCGCTGCTGCGCGGCAACTTCCAGGGCCTCCAATCGCCTGCCGAACAGAGCGTCCAGCCGCGCGGCTGCTTCCGCGGCCGCCGCCTCCACGGCAGACTCGGAGTGGCACCGCTGCGCTGCGGCCTCGTGCTGCATCTGCGTGTGTGCATCCACCATGGCCTCCGCCAGTTGCGAGATCCCCGCGGCGATCTCCTCGCGCGCCAGCCCCGCGGCCTCCTGCAACTTGGCTGACTCTGCGGCGGCCAGCTCGCCCAGTGGCGCGCAAACCGAGACCTCGCCGCCCTCACGTGCCGCTGCGGCATCCCGCCGAGCGCTTGCGCTCCATCTCGCAGCCTGCACGGCGGCGAGCGACGCCCCCTTCAGCGCGGCCGCGCTCCCACCCTCTAGGCGGGCGCTCGCCTCTGCGCATCTCCTCGCCGCGGCCGCCTCCTCCCTGGCCGAGGCACCCCAGGATGCCGCCTCCTCCGACAGCCTCTGGGCTCTCTGAACCGACACGGCAACCTCGCCCTCTGCAACCCGGATCCTGCCCCGCTGCTCTTCCGCGCAGGTGCGCAGCTCGTCCAGCAGCTCGCGCTGGACGACGCCGAAGCCGCCGAGAGCCGCGTCGCAGCTGGCCAGGGCGCGCGCAGCCGCGGAGCGCACCTCCTCCACGGCTCGCGCAGAGGTGGGCGCGTCAGGCAGCGAGGCGTCGGCGTGTACTCGGTCGTGCGCGCGCGCGGCAGCCTGCACGGCCTCCAGCCGCCCGTCGAGTGAAGCGTCGAGCTGCGCGGCCGCTTCCGCAAGCGCCGCCTCCACGGCGGACTCGGAGTGGCGCCGCTGCGCGGCGGCCTCGTGCTGCAGCTGCTCGCGCGCGTCCGCAATGGCGCCCTCCAGCGCCCTCGTGACCGTGTCCGACACCTCGTCGCGCACCCTCGCGCGGTGAACCTCTGCTGCTTGACGCACATCCTCCAGCATCTGCCGCAACTCGGCCGCGACGGCGTCGCTGAGGCCACCGTCGCGGCCCTGGCATGCCGCGTCCAGCTCCTCTCGCAGCTCCCGGCGCGCCTCGAGCAGGAGGGCGGCTGCCCTCTCGAGCCAGGCCCTGCCGCACGCATCCACGAGCTCGAAAACCTGCAAGCCGCTCGCGCTGCTACGGGGTGCCACGAATGCCTCGGCGGCGGGCTGCAGACTGGAGACCTCCTGCTGCAGCTGCCGCAGCCGGCCATCGGTGTCCGCCTGCAGCTCCAGCTGCTGGTCGTACACGCCGCGCGCCAGCTGCGCGGCACGGCTCAGCCTGGCCTCCAGGTCCTCCGCACAGAGCGCCTGGTGGGCGGTGGCCGCCCTCTCCGCGGCGTCACGGTCGCGCTGGGCACGCAGCAGAGTCTGAAGCGCATGCTCGGTTTCGGAGCGGTGCTCGATGAACTCAGCGTGGTTGGCGATCACCTTCGCCTCCAACCGCCGCAGCCGCTCCAGCAGCACACCAGCATCCTTCGGAGGCCCCAGGCCAGGATGGGACTGCGCGCCTGCGCGCTCGCTGCGGCGCGCGAGGGCCATGGGACCTGAGCCAAGACGGCTGCGGAACGACCGGCTTGTGTTTCCGAAAGGCCGTCGTCTCAACTGCTGCGCTGGTGCTGATCCGCCACCGTGCCCCTGCACGGTTGCCCACGGTGCAGTGGGCGACCCGAGGAGGAGGAGGAGGAGGAGGAGGAGGAGGAGGAGGAGGAGGAG